GTTTATTGAACATAAGGACAGGTTATATACACATACGATCATGACTGTTTACAGAGGACTATTTACAGATTATCTTGTAGTGTGAATACACGACACTAACGACCCACATGTGATAGGTTTTTACCCAGTGTTCTGAGAGCATGCATGCTAGTAAACGCCCTTCAGAGTGTGGTTATTAGCTCAGAACCCCATTATAGACGGATCGTTTCATCAGAAATTTTGGGGAGAATATGGGGAAAGTTCAATTTTCGACCCCGCTTAGATGATGTTACTAACACAAAAACAGAAACAGGCGCGGCGTCATCATCTAGTGATAGACAAGCATCATTACGCAGTTGTCAGTGTAATGCTAACACATACCACACACCTTTCCTTTTTATCCTTTCTATTTTTCCCATCTAATGTTGCAGACAGCGAAGCTGCCCGGAGAGTCCAACTTCTTGGGCATTCGCACTAGGTTTCCAAGGGACCACGGAGAGAGAGAACCCTTCCCATCAACCTGGAACGACTCCTGGAATCATGCTCACAACACCGTAGAAGTTATTGTAGGTAAACACAGGTTGTAGTTGAGTATTCCGCCGAAGATTGTACTGGGAATTAAGGTGATGCCGCAGGCGGCTGGCATCCTTTCCTACAGAAAGAAATGCCAAAATTTTTTTCCTCATTCGCTAGAATAATTTAAAACAAACGTTACACACTGTGACGTGCAGCCGATTCTCAACCTTAACATTTTTGCATCCACGTGATTCCCCGTCGCGATTCGGCGGAATACCCTATCTTCTCTTGTGCTGAACCCCTTGATCGCGAGTGAAGTTGTGAACCCCCGTCTAACACCCGGCCGCTGCCGTGCAGCTGCCGAGCCTGGAGCCGGGTAGCACCGCTCTGCACGTGGCCTGTCAGCGCGTGCATCTGCGCTGCATCCGCCTGCTGACGAGCGCCGGCGCGGACCGCTCCGTCCTCGACGACCGCGGCTTCACGCCCATCGACGTGCTCCATGAGTTCCCGGGCTACGGCGAGGAGGACGGCCTGGGCGAGGAGAAGGAGGACGGCGGTGAGGTCGCGGCCGGCGCGGGGGACGCAGCAGGAGCAGCAGCGGAGGCCGAGCAGCCGGCCTTCCCCGCCGAGGTAGGCGGCGGCAGCCCCCCGGGCGCTAACTTCTTCCGGACCGACGTGGGCATCATCGGCGGCGTCGCGCAGCCCGCCTGGGTGCCGGACGCCAAGCCCAAGCCCAAGCCGGCCGGCAGGCGCGCCACCTCGGCCGACACGCGCCTGCTCGATGCCATCGTGTGGCTCAAGAAGGAGGGCGCCGGCAACTTCATGACCGGCTCGGCGCTGCACACGGCCGTCACGACCGGCTGCCTCAAGGTGGTCGAGACCCTGCTCAACGTGGACCCCTCCTCGGCCTGCGCCATCAACGCCAAGGGGGAGACGCCCGTGCACGCGGCCATCGAGGCGCGCAGCATCGAGGCCCTCAGGCTGCTCGTGAGTAACTTCACCTGCTAGAACGAACAGAACGTGTTTTTTTTCACTACAGCTGAACCGGATCCAAAGACGAACAGCAATGCATTCTAATAACCCTTTCGTACCTGGCACAGAGCTTCCTAAAAAAGTAGGCAATAGAACCGCGGGGTCACACTTGGGTGCAGCGGGCTGTATCGTACTAAGGAAACCCTCTGCACGTGCGCCCAGATGTTGCCTAGTATGCAGGCTGAGATGCGCGCCCGTTGCACACGGGTGTGCTCCGGCGGCTATTTTGTCCAACCTTCTGGCAACCCTCCTGATTGGCTGACTTCGGCGAAGTTCTTGGACCCCCCACGAGGAAGGTCGACCACTACAGTCTCCAGAACCCTGCGGCGGACGGGCATCGGATGCGAATGGGAGTGAGAGGGGGCTATTTTCACTCCCTCCCACTGCTACTTTCGGACGCCATGTGGATACGATGCCGGCCCCCCTGCAGGGCTCTGCTAGTGTCAGTGGCAGGTCGGAGAACTTCTTTGTCGTCAGGCATTCGGCGACAAGGAGTCTGGTTGGCCTCAAGTGAAATACCCTACTATGTATAACCCCGAAAAAAGTGTCCCAGACCACGGGCGACTGAAGTGAACATTAGCTCTCGCTGATGATATTCGGTACACAGAGCTTGCATATATATACGCGACGTGCTATGTTAAGGGGGCATCGTAGTGTAGCGAGCCTAAAATAGGGGTGATTTGCGTAATTAATTGTGGACAACCCATAGTTTTTAGAACAAAACCGAGTACACCGTTTTGTAGCGCATACTTTTGACTCTAAAACGCAATGTGTATGACGTCGATACGCCTACCCAAAGTTGAGATATCCCCTGTTGAAAACGGCACTGCAGCGTTGTCGTCTTTTCATGGTGTACCGGATTCCGGCTACACCGTCGGGCCGTTGAGGTTCCGATTTTTTGTGGATGTTCCTAACACTTGTAGGTATGGCATGAAGTAGGATATCTGGAATCGGTCACCACCTTCATCCCGAAAAAAAATCAAAACTATGAGAGTTTTAGCTGTTTTTTCGATATGTCAACTTTAATCTGCTCGAAAAAATAGCAAAAATTGTCCGATCGCAAAT